CCTCTGTCCATCTGAAACAAAATTCATCCGTTTGCTAACTGGCTAAAGCGTAAGTCATTAGGATAAGCCAAATAGGCGCCAACAGCAAAGGAAAGGCAATAACAACCTAAATGTAACAGGAAACCACTAGGGAAGTATAATTGTAATAAAACTGTATTAATAATGAGTCTCGAACCTCTTTCATATTAGCTATGCCACCCAAGCTTCAGATTACACTTATAATGTTATTTGCTAAGCTCCAAATATCCATTTGGGTTGTATAATTTGTAATTAGTATCCAGATCCTTTTATTTTTCTTGGCAGATTAAGATATCCGTCAATATGAAGCAGACTCTCATGTTTTACTTATATTTTACTAATTTAATTTGAAATAACACCTATGTTGCTGTTGTTAAGAGCAGTGTATATATATATATATATATATATATATATATATATTGTTCAATAATATCTAAACTTGACCCAAAATTACAATTACACTACTTACTAAATGGCAATTCATCTTTATATTTTGAGATTTACCCCAACATGCAATTTTACTGATAAATCACAACGCAGTTTTCCGACTCTCAACTCCCTAAAAATGGAACAATTTTTTTTCCTGGCAATACTAATAAAGTTAGAAATCATTACTTAAAGTGAAAATATAGTTACCAGAACCACCACAGCTTAATGTAGCAGTTCTGGTGTCTATAGCATGTCCCTGCAGGCTTTTCAATGTAAATGCTGCCTTTTCAGAGAAAAGGGTGTTTATCTTACCTCTAGGTGCAGTCACTTAGATGGCAACTAGAGGAGCTTACTATTTCAGTGCTGCACTGTGTACAGAACCTACATTGCATTGATTTGATACATCTCTATATAGAGATGCTGATTGGCCAGCGCATTCCTTTGGGAAAGCATTGGATTGGCTGAGATCATCAAGACTGATCTTGATGGTTCACTGTCCCTGTCCCCTTAACCCTACAATATTTACCTGTAAGAGAAACTGCAATGTTTATATTGTAGAGTTTAGGCAACCTCTAGTGGATGTCTCCATGCATGTGCATCAGTGTCCCCCATCGCCATTACGATGGAGAAGGAGATGGAGCCAGCAACAAGGGATATCAGTGCTGGAATTAAGGTAATTGTTAGAAGGGATTTTAACCCTTTCAACACCAGGAGAGTGGGAACAGGCCTTAAGTTAGTGGCAGAGGGACACTATAATGTCAGGAATACAGTTTTGTGTTATACTGTATGGCATGTTCATTTAAGACATTTTGAGTCTATTGTACAGGTGTATTTGTTGTGCTACAAATGTTTATTTTGTTGTTTTAGTGCTTATTTGTCCTTTACTTGCTTTAAGTAATTAAGGAGGAATCATTAGTATGTGTCTGCTGACATTGTTTGCAAATACCATCAAGAGATGTTTATAGAATGAGTTGCATAGGGAGGTGTATTGATTAATTGTCAGAAAATTGCTTGTTTTCTGTGGTTTAGCAAGTGCTTTTAGTGTTGAATTCACTGTCAATTGTTCTATTAAGATGTTGATCATTTCTCTTTGCAAAGTTTGTGATTACCAAACTTTGAATGTTTGCTATAAGGTCATTTTAACCATACCAATAATAGTGAATATGTTTTTAAAAAGTATCAGAACAGAGTGATTAGGACTGGTGTCTATAGCCTGTCTCTGCGGGTACAGCAATGTAAACTGTCTTTTCAGAGATTTCATGGGTATTGGATTAGGTCCTGCAATCTCCAGGTTCTGCATGAAGACACTGAACACTCCTAATAGTGATGCATGATCTGATAAGGAGATGCAGGGCGGGGCGGGGCTGGAGGGAGGCACTCCAGGATTCTCTAGTGCCAGGAAAACAGGTTTGTTTTCTTGGCACTGGAGAGTTCCTTTAATAACAAAAAAATAATGCACATGACTGCATAATCAGAATGTAAACACTAACAATAAGTGACTAACATGGTAAAGGGAAGACAGTCCTGCTTAATCAATTATTCATTTATAATTTCTTTCACATTTAGCTTACTTAGCATATATATTTGAGGCTAACTTGGAAATTGTTTAGGGCTTAATTAGTGAACAATTGTTCAGCTAGTCACCTTAACTCACCTCAACGTATGGATAATTCATGTCATTAAGACCTAACGTGTGGATAGTTCAGGTCATTTGGCCTCAATTAAGGGCTAATCTACATCAGTACAGAGTTGAGTTTGTTTCATTCAGATGCTCTACAAGAAAGCATTGGATTAACTGAGATCATCAAGACTTTCGAATGGATGGTGAACCCATGCGCAGAGCCCCCTAGTGATCTGACCCCTTGAAATCAACCTGCAATAACAGGACAACTTCAGTGACCTCTGTGACCTACAACTAGCATCAATTTATATAAGAAGTATCCTATGAGAAAGCCTTCACTCCCTTATCTGTGTAAACTCCTCCTGGACAACTGTGTGGATTACAACAGAGATTGAATATACACGTAGGCATCTCCAATATACTAAACACACCCAAAATAGTGATATCTAACCATTACTGACATTTTTTTTATTTTTGTGAGTACTCAGAATATTGCTTTCATTTTTAAATGTTTTTTTTCTACTTTTTGGCTGTATGCATATAAGCATCAGAAGTTTAGAAGGTGTGCATAGAGGTACATGTGCATATACATCCTTTTGTTTTGCAGTTATTTCTTTCATGTTTTACTATGACGCATACCGGTAATGACTTATTGGTACGCGTCTTACACATAACACCATATACCGGATTCGCGCAATTGGCACGACTAGACACTGAAAGCGAGGTTTAATACTCAGAAACATAGGATATGAGTCATTGGGTGAACTCACCGACCTCTTGGAATACCCGGACACTGTGTGGGGATATAGAAAAACACAGAAAATGGTGCGAAAAACTATTTCCACTGGAGGGATTTAAATATCGGACGTTAACTAAATTAGCTTTATGCACTTGAAAACCGACTATATGTCAAAATGCATTGTGCTATTTGATTTTATATCACTGTTTTTATATTGTTACTATTTTGACTTTGACCTAATAAATTAGTCGTTTGACTATGTCTCCTGCCTGTTTCCAGACTTATTGGATCAGATTATTTTCAAGGGGAACCAGCTATTTAAATCTACATGCTTTTAAAACCAGAGCCTGCTATATAAGATTTCTGCTTCCCAGTTATGATGTAAAACCAGCCTTGATTAGGAACAACTTACTATAAGTATTATTTTGGTTTACATATGTTGGTTTGATTGCACTCCCCAACTGGATTGTGTTACTTTACATTAGTGTGTTCTTTCTATTTTGTGCCTTCCTTAGTGGTTGATCGGTGGCACAGGGGATTTTTACTTTTTATTAAGCGCCAATTTACACCTCATCTGTTGTTTCTATACTTCCTTGTTAGTGCTCGGCATTGTTTAATTACATGTTTCTCATAGAGAAGCGTTTATGACAAATCACTAGTCCAATGCTTCTCATAAAACGGCTGTTTTAATTGACATTTGAGGATATATGTAAAAATACATACTGTGCATACTTTGGGCTGTATTGGTCAAATAGATGCTTTTACATATTTATTTGCATGTGCTCATAAAAAAAAAAAAAAAATTACAATATAATGCTCTGTGGATTCAGGATTCAGCAGCCACTGGATGAGGTTGATTGTAGTTATATTCCACATCATCTATTTAACAAATAGTTGCTTCACTATCCCATCATACAAGATATTTATTTTTAATCTTCCACGATCTTCAGCCAAAATCTTACTGAGGCGACATATATACATATATTCCCAAGAGAGGTTTTGTTTTTTTTCTATCTCCAATAGTAATGTGCTACGAAATATGTTGGCGTTATATAAATCCTAATACTGCCCTACATGGTGGGCAGTGGTCGAAAACCTAAATTAATTCATGTTTTTTTCTTTATCATTGAGTTAGAAAGTCAAATTGCCTGAGAGTTAGGAAGCATAGCGCTGACACTATGTGTGTAGTTCTCCTGGCCATGAGCAAACTGCTAAAAGTATTTGGGATTAGTATGTGCATGATTTCTGATGTGAGGGACATTTGCTTAGCAGGTCATTTGAGATATAATAGAACACTATTTTGTGTCATGTTGTATTCACTCTAACGTATAGCGAGATCATACACAATTAACTCATAGACCTCCTGTTGTTCCAACTCATAGAGAGTGTTTTTCTATATTTATAATTATGTGTTGGGTCTGTTATTAACCCTGCATAGACATTTAGCCATCACCATGACTCCAGAGATTTATATGTGTAAAGCTGTTATATTAGAGCAAAATAATGTTTTGTGTGTGTTTCTGCAATAAACATTCCTTTTGTTTATATCTTTTCTCTTTTTTTTTCAATTTAAAATGTCTTTATTTTCTTTTAAACAAAGGAATTGGGTACAGAAGAGAAAAGGGAGCTTTCAGCTGTAACATAATGGGGTTTTACAATATCAGTTTAATTACGGTTTTCATATACCAAAGGGGGAGAAAGGAAGAAGGAAGGGTTATAACCAAATGTTTAATCACCACATTGCTTTACATGCATCTTTTATGCTGTTGTCACAGTGCTTTGTGTGTTACCCTGCGTGTTTGGTGCCCTCTATAGTTAGTGCAACTAACCGTGTGTCCATCTATGAGGGTGCATTTTACCTTGCTATGTCGTTTTATGTCGTGGTCCCTAGACTCTTAGGGGACTTTGTCATTGTTCAGAGTGTTGTGCTTGTTTTGTAACCATGTTTGTCTGTGGTTGGTAGGGAGGGGGAAAGAACATGAGGTGTAAGGAATAAATGGGTATATGGGGTGGGGTGGGAGGGTGATGGTATTGATACCGGGCAGAGGACCTCTGATGGGTTCTAACACCTTGACTACATCATTTTTGGGGTATATTGAGATGTCATGTTGGATGAGGGTGTGGGGTGGCTGTGTTCTCGGGCAGATAGTGTGCCTGGTTCGGGAGAACCTGTCTCCTTTAGGGCGTTCGGACCTAAGTTGGTTCTGTGTTGGCTTGTTTTAGGTAGTTCCGCCACATCGTGGCAGTGTGGGGGCTGATTTTCCCAATTTTCGCCTGGTTCCACATTAACAGTTCATATTCTTCCGTTGAGGTCATCACGTTTTCAATTTCTCGGGGCGAGGGCAATTCAGTTGTCTTCCACTTTCTGGCTATTAATATGGACACTGTGCTTAGCATGAGGTATATAATTTTCTGGATCGGCTTGGGGGTGTTATCTGGTAATGAACGGAGTAGTATTGTTTTGGGGTCATGCGTGATTTGGAGGTCCGTGACTTTTTTAATCAGTGTAGCTGTGACTTTCCATAGGGAATTCACTCTCTCACAAGTCCACCACATGTGCAACATGGTACCTTTAGTAGTGTGACATCGCCAGCACAAGTCCGGCGAGGTTGGGAATATGGTGTGAAGCCAGGATGGAACCATGTACCACCTAATTACATTCGTGAGGATGGCAGAATGGTAGTACGCTTTAATGTTAGGAAAGCCCATTCCTCCATACTTCACATTTCTCAATAGTAGCGTTTTGGGGACTCGTGGGTGTTTGCCTCCCTAGCTGAAGCATAGGAGGGTTGCTTGAAGTTTTTCTATGTAGCTTTGCGGAATGTTGATTTGCAGAGATCGGAAGAGATAGAGAATTTTAGGCAGGATTGTCATCTTTAGCGCCGCTATTTTTTCCCACCCAGGACAGGAACAGGCTTCTCCATGTTTGTAATTGAGTATCTATGTCTTTCATCAGTTTCGTGTAGTTAGCGGGGTTTTTATCTTTTCATGATACAATTTCTCACAAAGAAAATAGCAATCTATTGTGTGAAAATGTAAATTATCATTTGTTAATTGGTCAAAAATGTAAATGATTAAATAATCAATTTGTTAAAGACTAGTCGGAACTATTGTATCCACAACAATATAACGTCTAAAAACAATATATTTATATAATTGTAATGTATCTTTATCTTGATTTTTCTTTTGGTTGGATATTCAATTTATTGTTTAAAAAAGATTTATTTTTTTTAAAACTGTTCATGTATCTGGACATCAGTTTGGATTTTTCAAATTTTTTTTTTATTATTTTATGATTTATCCACAACAATATAACGTCTAAAAACAATATATTTATATAATTGTAATGTATGTTTATCTTGATTTTTCTTTTGGTTGGATATTCAATTTATTGTTTAAAAATTATTTTTTTTTTAAACTGTTCGTGTATCTGGACATCAGTTTGGATTTTTCAGAAATAATTTTTATGATTTATTATTATCATACTTAACCCCCTCCCAACACAAGACGGAAATTTTCCGTCATAATTGTCCTACCGTTAAGGAACCATGAAGGAAAATTTCCGTCATTTACTAATATAAACCCCAGAGATAAGTCGAATAGGGGGGATAAAGGTAGCACCAGAAATTGTAAAAACAGAGATGTGTTGTAATATATATACACAAACAGCAGAAAAATGCAAAAATTGTTTGGGTAAGACAAGCTTCTGAAGCTGTGTCCTTAATGAGTTAAAGGGACACTCCAGGCACCCAAACCACTTCAGCTAATTGAAGTGGTCTGGGTGCTGTGAACCTTTTGCACTTAGTGCTGCAATGCAAAACATTGCAGTTCCAGAGAACAGCAATGTTTACAATGCAGCTCTAAGTCTGCCCTCTGTGGCTGTCTAACAGACAGCCACTAGAGGGCTTCCGGAATCCAAACCGACCTTTGGTCGGTTATCTGACACTGGGCGTCCTCACAGACCTCCAGCGTCAGAATTTCACCATAGGAAAGCATTGAATAATGTTTTCCTATGGGGAGGTCTAATGCTCGTGCGTGGCAATTGCCACGCATGCGCATTAGGTCTCCCCCGCCGGCTGACATTGGTGGGGGAGAATCATGGGCGGAGCCTGACCCAGCACCAAGGGACATCGGCGCTGGATTAAGGTAAGTAGCTGAAGGGGTTTCAACCCCTTAAGCAACATGGAATGGGAAGTGGGAGGGAGGGGGGCACTCCAGGATTCTCTAGTGCCAGGAAAACAGGTTTGTTTTCTTGGCACCGGAGAGTTCCTTTAATAACAAAAAAATAATGCACAGGACTGCATAATCATAATGTAAACACTAAAAATAAGTGACTAACATGGTAAAGGGAAGACAGTCCTGCTTAATCAATTATTCATTTATAATTTCTTTCACATTTAGCTTATTTAGCATATATATTTGAGGCTAGGTTGGAAATTGTTTAGGGCTTAATTAGTGAACAATTGTTCAGCTAGTCACCTTAATTCACCTCAACGTATGGATAATTCAGGTCATTAAGACCTAATGTGAGGATAGTTCAGGTCATTTGGCCTCAATTAAGGGCTAATTTACATCTGTTCAGAGTTTAGTTTGTTTCATTCAGAATGTAAAATTTTTAGAGTATTCAAATCAATGTAAATTATTTTGGTAGCATTTCAAAAAACAAAGTTTGCCATCATCTTGGAGACTTTTCAATGTTGTAATTAAAACTAATGCTACATTTTCTTTTGCACTAACCTGTGTTTTTTTGTTGTTTTTTACATTTCTTATTCATTCTTTTTCCACAAGGCATTTTATGATTTTACTCAAATCTAAGATGACAGGAGCACCAATGCATTTAAAACCTTTCCATCTTATCTTGCTGTGCAGGAGGATTACAGAGGCAGAACTATGACTCCTAACAGCCTCAGCCAGCTGCCAGGACCCCAGAGAAGCCACCCTCCTGCACCCAAAAGGTAGGATACAGGAGGGTGGCTGGAAATGTGTGCATTTTGCTTGTATGTCTGTATTTGTGTCTGTGCATCTATCTATTTGTCTGTATGTGTATCTGCATGTGTATCTGTGTGTCAAAATGTGCCCCTGTGTATCTTTCTGTATCTGTTCCTGTATGTTCGTCAGAATTTGAATGAGTTTCATTGTGGGTATCTTTGTGTCTCTGTATCTGCATGTGTGTCGTTGTGTGTGTCTGCATGTATGTCTGTGTATCTGTATTAGTGTGTGTCTGTATATTTGTTTGTCTTAATGTGTATATAATGGTATGTGTGTTAGTGTGTGTCTGTGTATCTGCATGGGTGTCAGTGTTTGTATCTCTGTGTCAGTGTGTGTATCTGTCACGACCACACTTACCTGGGGGTCCCTCGCCGCGTTTCTGTCCACTCCTGTGGCAGTCCCTCCTCACGCCCAGGACTCCGACTTATCCGACCGCAAGGAGAGACGGCCAGCATCCCTGTGACTCGTGGACCCGGCGTTGCAGCTTGCCATGCCATGACCCGTGGAAGTTCCCGACAAACCCAAGTGTAAACTCCACACACTCTAGGCATGCACGCGCTCGACAGACAATCTTTTAAAGAGATAGAACACCTGAGACATCTTAAAGGACTAATCACTGTTTAACTAATGATATGTGAGAGGTGGACACCTGTACCCTATATAAACCCAGCTAACCTCTACCTCAGTGCTCAGTTATACTGTGCTTTTCGGTATATACTCTTCTGTGAATCCTGTTTTCATCCAGCCCTTAACCTATCTGCCTGTTATACCATTCCTAAACCTGTCCTGCCTGGCTTACCATGACTACGATACTGTCTTATCCCTAATTAGTACCTTGCTTTTGGCTCACTACTGCCTTCTGGGCCCCACCAAAGACCCAACAACTGTAACTCCAATTCTAAAGAAGCCCAACCTTGACCCTAACTCCCCATCCAACTACCGTCCTATCTCACTACTGTCTTTTGCATCCAAGATCCTTGAAAAAGTTGTGTATGTGAGATTGAAAGACTTCCTCAAATCCACCTCTCTGCTAGACCCACTTCAGTCTGGTTTCTGCACTAAGCACTCTGTGGAAACGGCACTGACCAAAGTATCCAATGATCTACTCGCTGCAAAATCTCATGGTCACTACTCTATCCTAATTCTCCTTGACCTGTCTGAGGCTTTTGACACTGTTGATCATCAACAGCTTCTTCTCATCCTCCACAATATCAGTCTACAAGATATTGCTCTCTCCTGGTGTTCCTCCTACCTCTCCCATCGATCCTCCTACCTCTCCCAGCGCTCTTTCAGTGTTTCTTTCTCTGGCGCTGCTTCTTCTCCCCTCTCTGTTGGTGTCCCCCAAGGTCCCCTACTGTTCTCCATCTATACTGCCTTCCTTGGTAAACTCATTCGCTCCTTTGGCTTCCAATATAATTTCTATGCAGATGGCACGCAAATCTCCCTGTACCTCCCCGTCCCTGACTGCCTCTCTGTTATTTCTAAGTGGATGGCTGCCCACTTCCTTAAACTCAACTTGACCAAAACTGAAATTCTGGTCTTTCCTCCCTCAAGTGTTGCTACTCCTTTGTCTGTCTCCCTCCAAGTCAACGGCGCTACCATCAGCTCCACCATGCAGGCTCTCTGCCTAGGTGTTCTCTTTGACTCAGATCTCTCCTTCAAGCCTCATGTTCAATCTATCGCCAAATCCTGTCATTTCCATCTCAAAAACATTACGCGCATCCGACCCTACTTAACACCAGATGCGACTAAGGTGCGTGTCCATTCCACTGTCCTTTCTCGCCTTGACTACTGCAATCCGCTTTTCAGTGGTCTTACGTGCTCCCAACTTGCGCCGTTACAGTCCATGATGAATGTGGCAGCGAGGATCATCTTCCTGTCTGCCCACACCTCCCACGCCTCATATTGGCTTCCTGTAAGATATAGGGCTCAATTTAAAATTCTGGTTCTTGCTTTCAAATCTCTACATAATGCTGTTCCCATATATCTATCCTCCCTAATACACAAGTATGTCCCGCCTAGGCCCTTATGATCTGCTGAAGACCTACGTCTATCTGTCCGTACTTCCACCTCTGATGCTCGCCTTCAATATTTCTCGAGGGCTGCACTGTTCCTGTGGAACTTGCTTCCCTCCTCCGTTAGATGCTCACCCAGTCTCCACTCCTTCAAAAAATCATTAAAAACCCACTTCTTCATAAAAGCGTATCAATTAAACTGTTCATAGCTCCCAACTGATTCCTCTCTTGCAACTGACAATAGTCTAATACTATCCTTTTGTGTCACTTTACCCCACTCCTTCTAGCATGTAAGCTCATTGAGCAGGGCCCTCAACCCCTCTGTTCCTGTGTGTCCAACTTGTCTGGTTACAACTACATGTCTGTTTGTCCACCCATTGTAAAGCGCTGCGGAATTTGATGGCACTATATAAATAATAACATAATAATAATAATAACAGAATAACTGAGCCTAACATGGAGCCTGCAGAGTTAGCCAAAACGCTAAACGCCCTGACCAGACAAGTATCCATGCTAACGTAAGCCGTACAAGAATTACAGACATGTGCTGCTTCCCATGTTACTGGATCTCCGGAAGCTCCATCTGCAGCCCACCTGATACCTATGCCAGACGATCACGCCGTGATCACACCAGAACCACAAGTGTCTTTGCCAGAACCTTTCTCAGGTGACAGATCTAAACATTGTTTCTTCATCATGGCATGT